TAGGCTTTATTAGTCGAGTGAGTGCTTTCTCAAACTCGAAGGAAGGTAGCCCGTAGGCTTTATTAGTCGAGTGAGTGCTTTGCTCGAACTCGAAGTAAGGTAGCCCGTAGGCTTTATTAGTCGAGTAAGTGCTTTGCTCGAACTCGAAGGAAGGTAGCCCGTAGGCTTTATTAGTCGAGTGAGTGCTTTGCTCAAACTCGAAGTAAGGCTGCCCGTAGGCTTAATAGTCAAGTGAGTGATTGCTCGAACTCGAAGAAAGGTAGCCCGTAGGCTTTATTAGTCGAGTGAGTGCTTTGCTCAAAATCCAAGTAAGGTAGCCCGTGGGCTTTATTAGTCGAGTGAGTTCTTTGCTCGAACTCAAAGTAAGGTAGCCCTTAGGCTTAATGGTCGAGTGAGTGCTTGCTCGAACTCGAAATAAGATTAGACCTTAGGCTTAGTAGTCGAGTAAGTGATTTCTCAAACTCAAAATGATGTAGCCCTTAGGCTTAGTAGTCGAGTGAGTGATTGCTCTAACTCGAAGTGATATAGCCCGTACGCTTTATGATCGAGTGAGTGGTTGCTCGAACTCAAAGTAATATAGCTCGTAGGCTTAGTAGTTGAGTGAGTGATTGCTCGAACTCGAAGTAATGTAGCCCGTAGGCTTAGCAGTCGAGTGAGTGTTTGCTCGAACTCAAAATAAGGTAGCCCTTGGGCTTCGTAGATAGTCCTCGAGTGAGAACGGTTGCTCGAACTCGAGTTGGAGTATCCCTTAGGCTTTATGGTCGAGTGAGTGAATTCTCGAACTCGAAGTAATGTATCCCGTAGGCTTAGTAGTCGAGTGAGTGATTGCTCGAACTCGAAGTAATGTAGCCCGTAGGCTTAGTAGTCAAGTGAGTGATTGCTCGAACTCGAAGTAATGTAGCCTGTAGGCTTAGTAGTCGAGTGAGTGTTTACTCGAACTCGAAATAAGGTATCCCTTGGGCTTCGCAGATAGTCCTCGAGTGAGTGATTGCTCGAACTCGAAATGACGTAGCCCTTAGGCTTAATGGTCGAGTGAGTGATTGCTCGAACTCGAAATGACGTAGCCCTTAGGCTTAATGGTCGAGTGAGTGCTTGCTTTAACTCGAAATAAGATTAGCCCTTAGGCTTAGTAGTCGAGTGAGTGATTGCTCAAACTCGAAGTAATATAGCTCGTAGGCTTAGTAGTCGAGTGAGTGATTGCTCGAACTCGAAGTAATGTAGCCCGTTGACTTAGTAGTCGAGTGAGTGATTGCTCGAACTCGAAGTGATGCAGCCCGTAGGCTTTATGGTCGAGTGAGTGATTGCTCGAACTCGAAATAAGATTAGCCCTTAGGCTTAGTAGTCGAGTGAGTGATTGCTCGAACTCGAAGTAATGTAGCCTGTAGGCTTAGTAGTCGAGTGAGTGATTTCTCAAACTCGAAGTAATGTAGCCCGTAGGCTTTATGTGGGGCTTGATATCGTTGATTTTTCGGTTTGGCAGTCCCCGATTTATGGGGTAATGGTCGGTCCTTGAGCTTGTTTGCATAATAGATCACAAAATAAGGGATGGATTCTGAGATATGATATATCGGTAAAGGAGAATTTTCTCTATCATTATACATGTGTTTATGCTTTTGTACTAGGGATCGAGTTAACTACACGAGCATGGTTCGTTTTGACCATTTGGCTCTTACAATACCATTTGGCTCTTACAATATTTCCTATCGAAACCCTGTTGTCGTGAAATAACTTCTTTGCATTGAATTTGATGATCGAACTTTATGATCGAACTTTGATATAACTTGATATATTCGACGATAATGCCCCCCAGTATTCGAGGTTGATTGTAAAGAGGCATTGGATACTGTCGAATTGTTCTAAGTTAGCGCAATCAATGGCTGTAGGATTTATACTATACGGTCGGTATAGGTCTCTGATCAGCCTTTGTTCTCGGTTGGTATCCCTTTAGTAACGGACCCAGAACCCAACTGGACGTCTTCAACTCTGATCTTCGATTGATATCGATTGTGTACATCGGCCTAAGTAATAGCCGGATACTCGATCATATTCTGCTTCAACTGTCGTGAAGCCATCGAGCTCCGCTCGTTCATTCCTTGAGTGAAAGCTTGTACAGCCCAATCGTCAGTGACTGATGGTAGATCCATTCGCTCCATTTGGAAACGAGATACGAATTCTCTTAGCATCTCGTTATCCTTTTGTCTTACCTTGAATAGATCCGACTCCCTGGTCTCGACCTTTATGGCCCCAGCATGCGCTTTTATGAAATAATCTGCAAGCATAGCAAAAGAATTAATAGAGTTAGACGGTAAATTATGATACCATATCATTGCTCCCTTTGACAGGGTTTCACCGAATTTTTTCAATAATACAGATTCGATCTCATCGTCCTCTAGATCGTTCCCTTTGATGGCACATGTGTAAGAGATGACATGTTCGTTGGGATCGGTCGTTCCATTATATTTAGGAATCTCGGGCATGCGAAACTTCTTTGGGATCGGTTTAGGAGCTGGGGGGGGGGAGGCTTTTGTATAAATTTTTTGGAATCTAAGCCCTTCAATATCGGTGGTGCCCCCGGGATCTAATCAAACCTGCAGTTATATGTTTTCATTTTTTTGTCGTTTGCCTCGATCCTCTTTTCTCCTAATTCTATTCGTTTGGTCAGTTCTTCGAACATCTTAAAAATGTCGGGATTAGTCCCCGACTCTCGCTCATTTGACCTTACTATAGCTGGTTCCGTTCTGTGGGTGACTTCTCGGGGTGGACTGGGCTCCGGCCTGCTCGGTATCTGGGTTTGACTCTGCAACTGAGCTATTGTTGCCTTTTGAGCTTGCAACATTTCGAAAATCATACGCAAACTGATTCCGTTTTCCTCAACGTTATGGGTATTTCGAGTTGCATATCGAGTACCACCATGAATGCTTTTTTCAGGTTCAGAACGTAGGTTTGCCTCAATGGCCACATGCGAATTAACGTCTGATGGCACTTCAACTCGAGCTCCAACGGCATCGACAAGCGGCCTTTCGGCCCTGGACGTCAAGTTGTTGTTCTCACCTTGAAGGCCAGCTTCGTTGTCGATAGGTAAGGCCATTTAATTGAGATATCGTTGTTCCTAATCCGAAATCAAAGACACTTCCGAAAACAAGCGTAAAATGATGTGTTTTTCAGATTCGTATCAAATAACCACTGTTATCCTTAGCCCCACGGTGGGCGCCAAACTGTTTACCCGAAAAACGGATAGAGTTGAATATGTATGTAGTTCTAAGGATACGTGGTATAACTTGACATGAATCGTAAAGGGAAATAAAAATATCAAATATTGACTGTAAAGGATGAAAAATAAGCAAAGTTGAAAAGAGAATGATTTATGAACAAACAAGATAAAATAATGTGTGAAGCTCCAAAGGATAATCTTCCAATATAGGTATGTATCAACAGTATTTTAGTTACAGTGTATGAATCACTTGATAGATGCCCTTTTACAGGAATAATAGGCATCCATATTATAGTGGAGGGATCCTACTTTGGATATAATTAAAAATACATATTGGGGAACCCATGATAAATCAGTTTTTCTTTAATTTTCACCAAGATTCCCTTTCTTAATGCGGCTGTAACGGCTCTTGTCTATAAGTTCGATATTGACTCGAGCTCGATTTTGACTCGGAGCCCGGTATTAATTCGGGCTCAGTATTGGTCGGTCTTTGACTCTTAAGCTCGATAACGTCGCTTCGCATCATAGTTCGATTTTGGATTCGAACTCGATAATGACTTCGAGCTCGGTATTGATCGGTCCCTGAAACTCGAAGCTCGGTAACCTGGCTTCGGATCTCATTCCGATATTATGAAGATGCTTCTCGGTCCATTATGTTCCCATCTCGACCAGCCGTTCAAAGGCCGAACTCGATTTTGACCGTATACATTAAGAAAGCTCAAATCCATTGGTTTATAAAGTTTAGTTCTGTCTCTCGTATTCCAGATAATATAATTATTATAAAGATAAAAATGCTACTTCAAGACTTGTTAAGTACAACAACCCGTTGCAGATTACTTCCTATAGCCTCTTTGGCCGAGCTGCAACAATCAGTTTATTTTGAGAAGTATTTTTTTTTAAAAGTGCTTCTCTCTAAAGGTACATTTGATAAGAAACAGTTTGTGTTTGGCTAATTAATTTGAAAATCACTTTTGAGCAGCAATTAGTGTTTGGCCAAGCTTTTAAAAACTGCTTCTAAGTGTATTTTTCTCAAAAGTATTTTTCAAAAAAGTACTTTTGGAGAGAAGCTATTTTTTTTCTACTTCTCCAAAACTGCTCATGTTTCTCTTCAAAAGCACTTTTTTTCCTTCCAAAAGCTTGGCCAAACACCTTAATTTTTGGAAAAAATACTTTTGGCTAAAAAAAAACTTTTGGCCCAAAAAAAGCTTGTCCAAACAGGCTATTACTCTAAACTGGTAATGGTTAAACGAATATAGTTTGCTTACAAACGTCAATTATTATGGATCAGGCCATTGAAGGAGGAATTGCCATCAAATATTGCAGCAAGAGATTCTCCAAACCTGAAGTCCTTTTTTCATGTGCTGTATCAACATATTAGCCGGCAAAATCCACATACATAAGTGCCACACTTTTTTCATCTTTCACAGCGAAGTCTTCACAATCACATTTAATCTACATACACAAAAACGATGTAGACACGAAAACAAGCCATAATTGTTGTCCCACTAATCACCATTATAATTAGTTCATAACTCATTCCTTCAGCAAATCATACACTACTGCTGAATTCAACTATCACGCAAGAGGAGCTACACTTGGCCCCGTTAGTATGAAACACCAACTTGAGAAAAGAAAAGAAAAGGTAAAATGGCTAACCGGGAATGAGGTATAAAATAAAAGGTGCATGTACATATAAATCAAATATTCGACTAGAGGCTTCTTGAATACCTTTTTTTCCGCAGGGAAAGGAAAAACTAGGTTAGCACTCGTACTCCTTATCACACACATCTTAAGGGGAAAAAAATATGTTACACGGAAAATGCGAAGGGCAGGATCCGCTAATCACATCAGTTCCTTTTTATGTAGCAACTTTATCATGAGTGCAAAAGTTCAACATATTTACAACCATTAAGAATGATTAATACTAGTATCAGGAACCAGCTGCCTGAGATGAAGAGGGAAAGTTTATTCAGTAACTAAACAAACATAGGAACACAAGAAATCCAACAAGTAAGAACATAAGCTTCAGATTGTTATCTGCCTGTCCTTGGGCTGGCCGTGCAGCATTATGAACATTCACCCCACGATATGCAGGAGGATATCCAAATGGGTAATTAGATGTTGCACCAAATGCAGTTAGATTGGGAAATCCATGAAACTGAAAACTGAACAACGATGGAAACAACCCACCAAAACCAGCAGACATTGTAAAGTTACCAAAACTAGCAGTTGCTCCTGGAAAAAATCCTCCCACATGACCAAAACCGAGATTAGGAAAAGCATTTGATACTGGCGGAGGAGCTGTTTCAGGTCTTTGCCCTGCTGGCCTGCTAGGAATTTCAACCCCAGGGATCGGTTTCGATCTTGGATCAGTTGAAGTCCTCCCTCTACCATACAAAGGGACTAACTTCTCCTCTTGTATAAGGGCCTTACAAACAGGACATTCATGGGATTGTGAGTGAAGCCGTAGCCATCTATAGAGACATGGCCAACAATAGAGGTGACCACAAAGTGTCACAATAGGGTCTTGTGCCAAGTCAAAGCAGATGTTACATTCAAAATCACCAGCATCATTGCTGCTATTTCCTGAGGAAGAAGAACTCTCATATGCCCTGGTAGTTAAGTTCTGCATTTCACCCGATATCTCTTATTGGCACACAGATATGCACTTCGCCTGTCAATCAGGAGGAACACAGGATTAGTTACAATATCAGCAACCAACATTCCTCGCACACAACATAAAAATTTAAAAAAAAAAAAAAAAATAGAGTCAAAAGGCACTACAAATGAGATTAGCAAAATCCAGATAAACAGGATGAATAGCAGATCACCATAAAAAAGCAGAAACCTTAAACATGATATCCACCATAATACAATTAAAAATGAGAACTTTTTTCTTTTGCTTGAGCATATGATACAATTAAAATGAAAAAAAAAAAACTAAATTAAAATGATATATTACAACTATAAAATCACTAACTCCAATTCATATATACAGCCTGGAAATTTGCTGAAGCAAAAACACTCACAAAATAGTCAAGAGAATAAGAAAGAATCGAAATTGATCCATACATTTTTCGAAAACGAAAAAACGCAAGGTAAATCATGGATCAACCAAGCTAGAAAGGAAGAATTTCACCTCTATTTCATTTCTTAAGTCATTGAAAAAATCTCTAAGTTTGAAGTGACTTGTAAAGGCAATTTTCCTAAATCGAATATCCAACTAATTGCTATAACCCTGAAATTGAATTAAAAATAGCTTTTTGGACGGGAAATTAGGCGCATAACAAGAAAACCTAAATTATAATCGTGCCCCTTGTACAATGATGTAAAGCTGAATTATCTATAACCATAATTCAACCTAATAAATTGTGAAATACTATAAATGTTCCTATACAGATAAAGGAAAGAGCTATAGCTTGCGATTGCCTTAAATTCAGATCAGATCACATAAGATGCAAATTAAAAAATTAAGATTTACATAAAATTCAAAGAACTGACGCAAAATAGTTCAAGAATGAGGTGAAATTGAATGATTAATAGAAAAGAATTGTAAAACTTACCGATTTGGAAAAACGAGAATGCTGATGGCTTCAAACTGGAATCATTCTCCTGATTTTTGGTAGTAATAATATGTATAAAAGCATTGACCACAAATAGAAGATTCTAGGGCTTTCTACATGCTTTGAAATCAAACGTGTTTCGCGCATTCGAAATCTACAAGTCAAGCTTCCTAGGAGAAAATTTAGGACACTGTCAATAGGAATCTTCTACGGGCTTCACTCCTAACTTCAGCTCAGCCCCACCTTTTGTTTGGGCCCCATAATTTTCTCAAGTCCAGTTAAAACCCAACAACTGTTTGGAGTACGCAATGCTTGCTGTAGTATTCCTTCAATTTAAAGTGTGAATATTTTTTTATTCGGTTAAGAAAATAATTATTTTTTTATATTTAGAAATAATTTAAGTTTAAGGGGAGAATTTCGGGTCAAGTGTTAGCTTGCCACTTGTGTTTGCCTCTTTGTGAGCTTATTCTCTCGATATTTTTGCACTCTCTTTTATATAATGGATTGCTTATATCCACCTGTAGATGTATGTCAATTGACCGAACCACGTTAACTGTTAGTGTCTCTTTTGGTATATTTCTCTTTTGTTAACTGATTTATCATTGTTCAAGATTTGCTTTACTAGCTTCCGGATGACATCTAATTATTTCGATCCTAACAAGTAGTATCAGAGTGAGGTTCAATACAGGTTCATCTTGACGGGTTTAGTTATAGCCGCAACGTATTTGATGGTAATCATGATTTTTGTCTGAGAAATTTGACCGGAATGCTACTCACATTGAGAGAAACTTTGCTGTAGAGATTTGGAGATGTGACCTGTTGAAGGTTATGTGAAGTAGATGGATGAAGTTTATTTTGTTAGAAAATTCAGGCCAAGTGGGAGAATTGTTAGGTATTTGTCCTGATTTTCTTAGCATATTTGGTTTTCCTATCTCATGAAGGAATGAGCAACATATTTACCATAATTGGATTTTCCTTTTCTTATGTTTTTATGATCATAAAATGCTATGGTTTTCAAACACCCACAAATTACAAAAGTATTTTTTCTTTCTTAAATTTTGCGTCTAATCAAATAAATTGTATAAACTGATACATAAGGAGTATATATACTTCAAAGTCCTGCAGATGAATGTAGCTTTTTTCTTTCTTTTCTTTGGTGGTGGGGGAGGTGGGTTGCCTTTTCTTGGAGGATATATATTATATCCTTTTCTTTTGAGGTCACTGCTAAAACTAAAGTTTGCATTTCAGCCTAAGGCAAACATTTGTTTTACTAAAAGATGTTTTTTATGTTTAATTTTTTAGGGTCAAATGATCTGTTTGTAATAAAATACATGAAAATCATATAAGGTTTTGAATACCAATAAAGACAAAAATATTAAATGATATTTTTCTTCGACTTACACTTTTGTAAGTAGAGTTATTCAATACTTTTGTTGGTAATAAATTACAATAACTCGATAAAATAACAAGAAATATACACAAGCTGGCCAGACACCAACCTTAGCAGTGCACTATATCCATTAACAGAATTTTTATATATATTAGAAGAAGAAGGAAGAAGATGAAGAATTAATCCAAATAGCCGCTCACCTTACCACTTAAACTAAAAATATTCGGTGAATATATAATATATGTATAATTTATATATTATATATGTATAATTGTGTATAATCAATATATAATATTTATATATGACTAGAAAAAATAAATAATTAATATGACCGGATATTTGTGTAAAAATCTCTAGAAGAGTATTTTTGTTGGCGGGGTTTCAGATAGGATTGTGGGCTTTCTATATGAAGTGTGACGGATGGATTTGATTGGGTTAAGATGGACGTAAAATAGATCCAATTGAACACATTTTCATTTCACAGGCTCCAAACTCCATGTGAAAAATAAGATGAAGAAGGACGATCAATGCGGAGTAGGATTTTTTATTTCTTCTTGATTGCTAGACATCACTATGGCGCAGAAGTCCACAATTATACTAGTTGAAGGTTAAACTTGTCTAATTAAACGAGAGCCCAAAATTAGAATTTGCCAATAATTAAGTCACCAAAATCATAGTTTTCTCTTTTAATTATTAATTAATAGATTGTTTGTGTATCTGTCTGTTGAAAGATTTAAGAAACTGGAATGAAAACCCGAAAGTTATTTAGGCAAAAACTTGCTTATGACAATTTTGTAGAACTACTTGGATGTCAATATTTTGCTTAAAATATACCTCGCTAAAGATGAACTTTAGACACCCTTGTTTCGTAGTTGACCCAAACTAAAGTGTCGGATTCAGTTTTTTTTCTCCAGCATTTGCTGTTTTGTATATTTGAATCATGTCTTCAAAATTTAGCAGGCCAATTCCATTTATCAAACCAGCCTCATACTTCATACTCCGTCGTCTCGGAAGAATAACAAAACTACCATTTGAGATTTTTAAAAAAAAAAAAAAAGTATTAGTACGTACTTTTATTTTCTGCAATCAATTTAGAAACAGTTTTTGCTATAAAAAGGTTGTGGTAGGTAATCTATGTTTTTCATAAATTTAACCCAAAAATATTTGAATTTACATCTAGAGGTAGAGATATTCACCAGAGGGAATGTTCAGATAGAGAAGTAGCTTCTTCGCGTAAATAATGGCACATAAATTATTTGGCGAACTCTATAATGCATGTGTATAAACTAATGTTATATGCCAATAACAACACATATCAAATGCACTGTATAAAATATGTAAGATGTGATTAACAAGCCATTGACGCTATAAAAGATTCATGTTTGGGGTGTATTCTTGTTATTTAATTAAGGCAAGAATGTTGTATTATTAGACATCATCCTCTGATAATTGATTAAGTTAAATGAAAATAATTCAGCTCGGAATAGTGATAGTTTTTAGAAATTTGATTGGTTAAGGCTCTAACTTTTCGTATACCACCTGGAACATAGCAAAAAAATCAAGGCAGTCTAGGCTGTTGTATTTTTTTGTCTTTTTTTTGTCTTTTTTTATTATAAGGACTTTTGGAAACAAAATTGAAGTACAATAAAAACCAGATGGGTTGCTTGCTATACAAACGTGAATCGACCTCGTAAAACTACACAAATTATCATAATTTTCTTGGTAAAGCTTTTAATAGTGCATAGCATGCTTTCTTTATAAAAAACTAAGAGCAAAACTAAGTAAAAGAGGGGAAAAAATAATCAAAGAATGACTAAATAAAATTAACACCACATTATTTTTCTTATTTTATGAGAATTTAAGATTTACTATTTTAACTTGTACTACAATGAGCATCAAGTGAATTTGTGGATTATGTGCAAAGGGAACAAATCTTTATATTTTGATGCATATTCTCTCAGTGAGATATATGAAAATGTTCTGTAATACTTGATCATTTTCCCTTTTATTTTTTGTGATATATGAGAATATTCTATAACACTTGATTATTCTTCTTTTTAATTTTTGTTTGAACTCATATAACACGTACAAGGTCTTTGGTTCAAATCTTATCAAGCTATGAGTCTATACTTAATTACTATGTCCTCCTTTTCCTGATTAAATGTGCCAGAATGCCTCGAGATTAAAAAGGACATGACAATTAATCTTGATTAAAAAGGACATGACAATTATAGAGCTAATGTTTGCATTATTTTTTTTTATAACTCCTACCAAACGATCCCAACACGTGCTTTTCTTTTGCGAGTGTTTAGTTTATTGTCTTAACTAAAAACAAAATGTACGGTGTATCTTACAATTACATTCTTATTAAATTTAAGAAAAACAAAAACATGAACTCAAGATTATTTTGATCTTTATAATATTTTATACTTGTAAGTTATCCAATGTCAAATATGGTATAAAATAATACTAAAATTGCGGCATAAAATTATATCGTTACTTCTTATACCTCAAACAAAATGCATATAAAGCAATATCGAATTTTATACTGAAATTATTCTTCTAATACTTAAGTCGTAAGTGTAACCGTAATCAAATGAAGCATTTGAGTTTCAACTAGGTCTAGCAACCATTTGCAAGACAGCTAAATATTTTTCCAAGATTGTGGCAAGTGGGTGGCTTACGTTGGCTCCTGGCTGTTTCCCTATATTTATTTGAACGAAAACAAAAACTTATTGTCCCAATTAGGGCTGCTTATCGGGCGGATTGAACGGTTATTTACTCTTAACGGTTTGACTTATCGGTTATCGGCTTTTAAATGTATTAATCCGCTAGCCACCCGATAAGATATCGGGCGGATTAGTATCGGTTTAGCTCTTATCGAGCGGTTATCGGGCGGTTTATCGGATTGTTTGCTGACCGCTGTGACTCAAAATAAAATTCCTATGCTCAACAGACTACATTCCAGTCTATAGAATATGGTACCTAAGAAGAGAGCTAAATAGAAGAAATATAGAGTTACATTCCAGCGTATTTCCCAGTAGAATCATCTCTGGGGATGAGCCTATTAACAACTTATAACTATCAGAAGAAATAGAAGAGAACACTGGGTATAACACATGACATCAAAATTATCTAATAGTAACTAATTGGAATAGTAAATTATAACTAAATGTCTAATAGTAAATTAGTAATAGATAGAGTACTCGAAATGGAAGAAGGGTTTTTGATTATTTAATATATATATATGGATAAAAATAAATTTTATATATATATATATATATATATATATAACGGGTTAACGGATTATCCGTTAAGAAAATTGAATAATTCGCCCCCAAACCGATAAGCCGTTAATAAAAAAATTTCAATCCGTTNTCCCGTACGTTAAACCGTTAAACTGATACCAATAAGCCATTAAGCTTCAGTTTCGATTCGATTTTCGGTTTCGGTTCGATTTTAAACTCCCCTAGTCCCAATACTGAAAGCGTGACCTCCAAACATCTTGGTACAAGTTATGGCTCGGGAACATCCAGTAGATAATCTTTCCTATTTTCTTTGGCTTCGCCTCAACTGATGTTTCTCAGTAGGTGGTGCTTTCCCTTCTTTTGATTATTTATATTGCAATTTATTTATTTTTAAATAAAAAACAAATGTTCAATTACTTACAACTCATTTCCAGCTTTTCCCCATAATGGTCAAAATTGTTTTAGCAGCACAATATTGAATTTTGGAATTGTCAAAGCAAAATTTTAGCAACTGAAGTTGCATTATCCTCAATGGTCCCACGGTGCAGCAAATG